GCGAAAAAAGGTAAATTTTATAACACGAACAGTTTCACTTCGTATACAGCAAATTGTGTTGTATCAGAACGACGATTGCATCGTGTGATTTGAATTTATCACGATTTTCCTTTCCAGTCAATATGAAACTCGTCACCTTGCCGATTGTAATGTACTTCGCAAAGTTTTTGGTGCCCAATACTCGCAACACTAAAATAATTAAACAAGATATCTTTTTAAAATGTCATTTTACTCTTGATCATATTATTTTATTCGCCTTGAATTTCAAATCGATTACATATCGAACTTCTGTACATGTTTTTGTCTACTGCCCTTCTGCGTGCAAATAATGAGGTCATACTCATGTCACAATAAGTTGAAGCTGATGCCATGTTGATGCCATGAGACTGTGGAGCTGAGGCCACGATGATGCCACAAAATAGCGAGGCAAACACAGCTTCAATTTTCAATGACACGAAGCTGATGTCACAATGATGCGATGCTGAGGCGACAATGAAGCCATGCGTAGGCGACAATGATGCCACAAAAGCCAAAGCTTCCGCGAGAACTGTACTGTACCTTGGGTAGACCTCTCTCAGATTTGATCATTTTGTAATGATATCTTTAATTCTCTAATTTTGGTGAATATTTTTGTCATTTTGGGTAAAAAGTGATATTTTCGACTTCTTGTTAAAAACCACAAGTCTGATTGCTTTGATATTACATATATAGGTATTACATGTGTACCTCTCTCAGATGTGTTCATTTTGTGATGATATCTTTATTTCTCTAATTTTAGTGAATATTTTTGTAATTTTTGGTAAAAAGTGATATTTTCGACTTCTTGTTAAAAACCACAAGTCTGATTGCTTTTATATTACATATTTAGGTACTACATGTGGATCTCTTTCAGATTTGTTACTTTTGTGGTGATATTTTCAAGTATCTAATTTTGATGATTATTTTTGTCATTTTTGGTGAAAAGTGATATTTTTGAATTCTTGTTGAAAACAGCAAGTCTACATATTGTTCATTTTCTAATGATGTCTTCTGTTCTTTAATTGAAATGTGCATTGCTAACAGCAGAGCTATCTCAGCCGACAGGCTACTTGTTTCAGTACCTCTAGTTACATGTATAGTGTCAAACCTTTAACAAATATGTAGTAATAGAAATGATAGTTTTTTGTGAGTGACCATTATTAACAACCTTGTTTCTTTGATAGCTGTAGGATTGAAACTAACCATCGTGAATTCAAGAAAGCTTGTGGCGTATCATCTGTACTCCATAATGCAGATCTAGATGCTTTAGTAATCTTGGTAAGTTTCTTCATCTCTATATATGACCAAAGTAGGCACATTTTGCTATTGAGAGAACAAACATGAAGTCTTGTAGTCAGGGTCCTGAGCTTCCACATGGAAAAACATAAATTTGTACTTTAGAAGTCTTGTGTTCGGTTACAATCTACATAAAAGAATGTAAAATGTGTTTCATGTAGCTTTTCTGAACTGGGGTACTAGTAGTCAACCAGAAATGGAAAATATAGATGTATTTTATTATCAGTGTCATCATAGTAATGTATAGTGTTGGTGAAAAGGTTGAGTACAGAAATGCTTATCACTGATCTGTTCTCTACATAAACAAGAAATCAAATAACCCTTATCCTGCCAGCCCCATATATTGATAAGGGTTAAAGTAATGCACCTTTCTAAGTTGTTCCGTTTGGTGACAAGATACTTTGTGACATGAAAGCAAGATTATTTGCTGTTTATTTATATAAATTTATTTCGTATTTCAGTCAACTTCGTCTTCAGCCGTCCACAAAGCCTTGCTTTTGAGTGATATGCATTTTCGAAGCCTTCGCACAAAATTAATGCTGAAGACCAGGACAGAGGAAGCTGCTCAACAGCTTGAGGTATGTTTTCACTTTCATTCAAGTATGTTTGTCGCTAGACCCATACTCATACCCATAGCTGATGCCATTAAACCTCTGTGCAACTGGTATATGGTGTCTGGTATAAGCATATTGCAATTTGTTTTTCTAACATGGCTGGGCTATTTCTGTCAACATGAACATCGTCATTTGTAATGAAACTGCTGGTATTTTATTCTATTATATGATTTGCAACAAAAGTTGCGTCCACAGTGATACTAAAAATAACAGTATCAGTGGTGAGATCAATGAATAGTGAAATTATTGTGATCAACAAAAGTCATCAGGGATACACTTTATTTTGATTGCAGCCATTGCAAGTCAGTTATAGTGTGTCTCTTTGTGACCTCAAAACCCTGTGTAGGTCACTTGTCATTGTATAATTTAGATATTTATACAATTGGTATACGGTGGGCAGAGCTTGAACTTCAGAGTTGAAAGGACACCCATTTTCAAAACACAAATTGGCATATAAAAATAATAAAGAGAATGTGGAAAAGCACCAAGGCAAGCTCATTTGTCATCCCATGTTTTTGATGCCTCCTTAAAGTTAAGCTCGAGTGTCCAGAATTCTAGTTTAAGAAAGTTGTAATTGTTTATCAAATTTATAATGAAAAGTTTCACTTTGTTTCAGCCATTCATCGCTTGTTAAAACATATTTAATAAAAGTCACTCATATACATAGTTATTACCACAGGTAACAAAGCAGCAAACAGAAGGGTGTGTTGAGGAATTTTCAGTTCGAGAAGACTTAATGGGACTTTCCATTGGATCACATGGTGCCAATATACAAGCTGCAAGAAAAATAGAAGGAGTAAAAAGAATTGATTTAGATGAAAATAATTGTACATTTAGAATTTATGGAGATGTAAGTTACTTTTTGAGTTTTCAAACATTGCATGTTGCCAGTACATATATGCCTTCAACAGATTGCTTATGTTGTACCATCAATTAAACATTAATTTCAAGGAAATAGCAGATGAAATTTCTGAGGTGATACTATTGCTAGAATGCCTGGTCCTAAATCCTTTGGTCTAAACTCATTCATATACCAAGCACTAGTAATTGGGAATAAAATGAGCAATGATTTGAAGCTTGTTGATAATTTTAAACACTAAAACATAATTACAAGGTTTTCATGTATCTGGGAATCGTTCTTTGATATGTAACAGTTACTTTATTAGTCTCCATTCAGACGCAGTCCGAAAACAGGGACTTGTGGATTGACCCCTGTGCATGTATCTTAGTCATGCCTGGACTGGATTACATTCAAATTTCACATATACATCATATTATACATATGCACATCAATTTGTTTCACGATCTGGTTCAAGATGGTAGAAAAATCATCAAAATGAAGCATTTCCTGGCTATTTACAGATGGATTTTGTTCAAACTTGGTACATCATTTTGTTTTCCAAATAAGATTCAAAATGGCAGACTGGCGGTCATTTTGTTTCAATGAATGTGGTTCTAGTGCCATATCTCTGACATGCTGTGACTGATTATGTTTAAATTTTAAATATTCATTATACATCATCTCATAGATATACAGTATATATGTATTGGTTTGACATTTCAATTCAAAATGCCATTTTGAGTTAATTGATGCTGTTTCAGAGCAATATCTCTCAATATGGACAAGTACTTGTACTATATTACTATAAACAAAACTATAACTTAGATTTGTAAACTAACAGGGATTGTGTCATGCATGGCTTGTTATACCTAATTCAGTTAGTATGTTTACGATGTTAATTTCTAGTTTGTTTCTGGTGTTAACAATGGTATGTTACTTTTCTGATTCATAGTGGCTGCTAGGGTCAAACTAACAAATAATCTAGCATGCACATATCACAAATAACAATTTTAATACTTTATTCTCCTCTCAACAGGAACCTGATGCTGTTCGTAAAGCAAGAAATATGTTAGAGTTTGGTGAAGATTTAGTGACAGTACCAAGAAATTTAGTTGGTAAGCATTACAAGCATTAACTTTGATGTAATCAAATTTTATTTTTAGAAGTTTAAAATATACTTTAATTCTGGGTTGATGAACATTACACTGATAAAATTTGTGAACCTGATTGCTATAACTGTTTAAAAAAACACAAGCCAGGATGCTTTAATACCTTGCCGTTTTCTCATTGTAGTTTTTACTCAAATTTGTTTTTGTAATCCTTTCGAATATTCTCATGTTCTGTCAGAATTATTAATTGTGTATTCATTTAGTTAGTATTGCTTGAAATTAGGATTTAGCATGGATCTTAGCAGTAGAGCTATACCAGGTGACATGTAAAATAAAGTACCGGTATATACATAAGTATTTCTGTGTAAACAATGATTAAGTACTCTTATTGTCTCCTTAGGTAAAGTTATTGGCAAGAATGGTAGAGTAATACAAGAAATAGTTGATAAGTCAGGAGTGGTTCGAGTAAAGATTGAAGGAGATAATGAACGAGATGAGAAAGCTAAAGAAGAAGGTCTTGTACCATTTCTGTTTGTTGGTACTAAAGAAAATATTGGAAATGCTACAACACTGCTGGAGTATCACCTTGTACATCTCAAGGTATGTATGTTTGGTTTTTTTGGTCACTGTTAAGTTCATTGCCCTAATGGCATCATCCATTGTATATGATAGTATTGTGTTATGTAATTAGTGAAACACCTGATATATATAAATTTGTTTTCAACTTGTGTGTCAATATCATGAAAGTTGAACCATAAATGCTGTTGAATGCCACCTTCTATAGCAAGTTTGTTTATTCAACTGCAGGAAGTTGAGCAGCTTCGAATAGAGAAACTGCAAATTGATGAACAGCTTCGACATCTTGGAGCAGGTTTTGTTCCTGGTCCTTACTTCCCACCACCAAGAGAGCGAAGAGGAGAAAAAGGCTACGCTTCTGATGCAACTGATGATTATAACAGAGGACGGGGTAGAGGTGGAAGAGGAAGACGATGGGGAAATGACAGGAGGATAAGTGGTATGTTATTTCAATTACTGTGGCTGAAAATACTGCTGTGTTGTAAGCAATGCTGCTTCCAAATTTGGTAATGATAATGATCTTCCAAAAGCAATGTCACTTGCAACACAGCTATATTTTCAGCCAATTAGCTATTTGCGTGGCCACAATAATATAAGTTTCAGAAAGTTTCAGATCATAAAAATGTACCATAATGAACAATACAATGAACCATGTTTTTTAGCTCCGCTGTCAATTACTCAAGCGGAGCTCATCATATGAGTGATTGTTCGTTGTTCATGTCAACTTTTTAGCTCCGCTGACGACTCTTTTGACTTCTTCTTGAAAACTACAAGCCTGAATGCTTTGATACTTGGTGTATATGTACCTTGGGTAGACCTCTCTTAGATTTGTTCATTTCATGATGATATCTTCAATTCTCTAATTCTCAAGACCAATTGCTTTGATATTACATATATATGTATTACGTGTGGACCTCTCTCAGATTTGTTCATTTTGTGAGGATATGTATGATTCTCTAATATTGATTAGTATTTGTGTCACTTTTGGTAAAAAGTGATATTTTCAATTGTCCAATTGCTTTAATACTATACATATTGTTCATTTTCTAATGATATCTTCAGTTCTTTAATTGAAATGTGCATTGCTAACAATTAAGCTATATACAGGCTGCTTGTATACCTGTAAAATGAATTCATCTCAATATCTTATTTAGTTATGTTTGATTAGTTGTCATTAGGATAGATTTTAATATATTGTCATTACTGTGTTTACAGGTGATAGCCAAGATAGAGATATTTATTCTGACAATGAGGCTGTAAGGAGGAGAAATTGGTCAGATCAAGTAGATGACCATGGTCGTGATACATCATTTCGTGGAGGTAGAGGAGGTTACGGTATGGCTCGTGGGCGAGGTAGGGGACGTGGTCGCGGTGGTGGATTTTCATTCAGAGCTGATTGTGAGTATACTGTATACGCTTCTACTCGCATAACTTTGTAAATAATCAATTTGTGTACAATCATTTTATTTATTGAAAATATAAAAAAAAAAACTGAAATTAACATGCTGTTTTCAGCAATAATAAACCTGTATAAACTTCAATCTCCCATTGTTCACTTTTTTTCAAATTCTTTGATCATCTTATAAGTGCTTGTAAGACTTCACTTGATTAATATATTAAAATATCGATTTCTATCATCTGTCAGTTGGAAATTGCTGTAGAATACTTTATTTTAGCTGGAATTAATTTTCGCTGAAAACACTTTTTAAGTGTTTTGTATATGGAATTTATTTTCACTGATGTTTGAAAAATATATATTCGCTGGATATTATTTTCACTGAATCATCCCTTTAGCGAAAATTAAGTATTCCAGAGTATATAACATTTAATTGACATCTATTTCTCGTGCACATTGTCATGGATATTGTTACTATATGATAGTCTTAATTATTCCATCACTATTCATAAGTTGATCAAATATTTAAATCAAAATCAGCACTCATTCTTTATATTACATTGATTATTTTATTTTGTATAGTTTCTCATCGTGCTCCAATAGCAAACAGTGAAACAGAAGATGACAGTCAAGCTGGGGATAGCCGTAGACGCCAGCATGATGAGGAGAATACAATTTTAGGAGAAGAATCAACGACAACTGTAGATGAAGAGACTACAGGTACAGAAAAAGAAGGTTGGTTTATATTTTACACATTAATGTTCTGTTAATCTTCAAAAAAAAAAAATGACTGAATTGTTCAATAACTTAAATGTTGGCAGGTTGGGAAAGAAAAAAAGCTCATGTTCACACATCCCAAATCCCTCTGATCAGGGTGTCTAATTTACTTGATTGCTGGATTGGACAAATGGGTATGCCTGAATATTCATTAATCAAGTTCAGGCAATAAATGCTAGTTATACTATGTTGACACTGATACTTTACATGGAATTAACAATTAATGATGACTATTTCACTTTATTTTAGTTTACACTTTTATAATTCAACTCAGTAGAATGATGGCATCAGAGTGAAAATATGACTGCATTGAATTCAATATCTCTAATATCTATGTTATGTCTTTCACTCTTTACCTCCAATACCCTTAAACACATTTATGTAAAAGTCCAAATATTCCTTCTAGCTCTTGAGTCTTTGTTGCATTTCTTTTTTTTTTTGCATTCCTTCACATATGCACATCTGTTTCAACATGACATGAGATGTATCTCTGGTGTGTCTAGTCTTGTTTCTCTCAAACTTGCTGTTGTCTTTACGCATAGTGGGTTACTGATTTACTTTCATGATTTGATTTAAAATTGTTCATCCTTCTTGCTTTTCATGCAGATAAAAACATTTTTTGTTATAATATTTAATGTCTGTAGGTTTCTTCTCAAATATTTGAATGCACTACACTCACAACCAGTCCTACATGTGGACATATTTATGTCAAAGCTTACATTCATATTGTTAATAACTGTGGCACATACTATCTAAATATTCTCTGCTTTTCCTGCCTCAATTTCACTATTCATTAGCTTTCTTTCCAATCTCCTGCTTGCGTAAGCTCTTCTTGTCATTTATGTGTGTGTTTGGTGCTTTTTTTTCACTAGGCTCATGACATGGTGAATTCTCTTTACTTTCTGCAGATGGGCCAGATAGGAACCAGAAAACTCCTAAGCGGAATCGTCGTCGCCGCAAGAACAGAACACCACCATCTCCAATCCATGAACCTGCAAACACCAATGAAGACACAGACACCAGCAAAGCAAACTCCCCAGAAGTACAACGAAGACAACGCAGTAGACCTACCACACAGAGAGGTACTGGTCATCCGCGGCCAAATAATAATTATTATGACAACTATCGGTCAAGTAACCGACCCTTTCGTGGAAGGCCTCCTATTTATTCAAACCCAAATAATCATCATAATACAAATAATAAACAGGATAATAAGCCAGTAACATCAACCCAGTCTCTAAATAGTGGTGACAAATCATCTTCTTCAACTGGTTCTCCAAAACAACAAAGGATGCAACGCCCACCCCGTGAAACCAGAACGCGTGAAAATGCCAAAGCAGCAACAGCTTCAACAAATCATAATGGTACCCCCAACTCTGAAACTGCTATCAATGACAGTGGAAAACATAGTAAACCTGAAAGTAAATCTGTAGCAGGTAAAGGCAAAGTAAGCATAACACTCAAGTCAGAAACACCTGCTGGTAATTTAGTCAATGGTACAGCGTAGAAATACAATTATTAAAACATGTAAAAAGTAAAAAAAAAAGTCCTTAAATTTGTATAATGTGCAAAACCTTTGTTTGTTTAGTATTAAATTAAATTAATTTTGTTATTATAGTTGGTGTGTATGTAGCAGTGCAAGTGCAATAAGACTGCCCCCCCCCCCCCCCTGTCAAATATTGATGATTGGCTATCAATTCAAATGTTAATACCCCTTAGGCCAACCCTAAACAAATTTTTGTACTACATGCTCATCACACTTTTATGTATGTACATTTTTAAAGGACTATCTTTATTCAAAACTAACTGTTTACCTAACCATTTCCATAGTGTGGAAACACTGTATTAGTTGTCTTATACCCTGTATTACACTATAATGCCTTAGCTGTATAGTTGTTAAGAATATGTTCAGATTTGGTCGTATTACAAGGGTACTGTGGGGGCATCAACTCAACACAGTAGCACAACAAACTGGCTGTAGGAATAGCCTAGATAACAATTTTCCAGTAATTCATTATATTTTAAAATAATACACAAAAAAAAAACAAAAAAAACTTCTAGTTTGGATTGGTTGTATTAAGGAAAATATTGAATTCTCTGAAGACAGTAAAAAAAAAGATTTTTTGTAAATTATTTTTTTTTTTGCAAATATTTACTAGTATGGCTGTGAGTGGCACAGATAAGTTTAATTTTTGTGATGTATTATTTGGTATTTATTCATTTACACGAAAATTATTTGACAAGCTTTCGTGTAACGTTTGTACAGGTAGCAATTTGTCATTTTTATATTATAATTTGGAGTGCAAACAAAGCATTGAATCTTGAGTGCCTTCCTCAGTGTAGTTGAATGTGCTCAGTATATTCATTGATCACATGGAGGTAGCAGCCCCTCTTGCTTTTATTACATTGTATATTAGAATCTGCTTAGTGTTTTGTAGTTTTTGACAACCACGCACTGTACAGTATCTTATTCACCTTTTACCATTTATTTTTTTCCCATAAAATAAGTGAAATTTATGCAAAAAAATGGCATTTTCAGGTGCTATCATTTAGAGAGTAATTTTAACACAACCAACATATCCAATATTCTATATTAAGATAAAAGTAGTTAGTACAGGTGAAATTACTTAAACAGGTCTGTATCTTTCATTTTATTGAAAACATTGATCTACTGCAGATTTATTTTTGGTATTGTTCACCTACTTACTGTTGGTGATTGGGTTTGGTATCTGTTTTCTGTGCCAGTGTGCACGTCTTGGCAGTCTCCTTCAATTCTTAGTGTTCACCAAGAAATGCATGGTATTTTATGTCTTCCCACTCTAATGGAGAAAATGCTGCACACTTTTATAAACATTGCGAGTACCCAGTAGTAAAAGTAGTAAACCCACAAATATTCTATGTCGATCAAATTCCTCTTTTGCCTTTCAAGCATAAAACGTAACTGTTGACATAACATAGCAAGATGTGTATCCCAAAAATAACTTTACTTGGCATTTTTATGGTGAACTTAAGAAATGGTGAAAATTTCTTATTTGCATGGAAGGTTGATTGTTTAATAGTTCTTCCTTGTGTGAATAAGATAGGGAGATTTTTTCTAGTATTTTGACACATTGCTTTACCCCATAGACTTGAAAAGTACATTGAAAGTAATGATTTTTACTCAAAGAAAATAAATATCCATTGGTTAACTTGTATTTTGTCCCATAGTTTTATCCGTAATTGTATGTGATAAACTCATGGCTGTTCAGTACATTGTAAATATCGCATGCGCATACACCACCACCTATCTTCCTGGTTTCAACCAGAAACCAATTTCATGGTACATGTAGTGAAATGATTGTTACTATGTTTCTTTTGTGAATTCATCATTGTTAAATAAGGATTTTTTCGTAACATCCATTCTAACGGTTTACTAAGTGAAGTTCATCACAATCTTGTTTTAACTTTCATCTAAGTTTCATATGCATTTTGTAACTATTTTTGTATCTTATTCAAGTGTTCATTATTTTGATTATAATCTGCAATGCCAGGAGATTAGTCGGGTATTTTCTCTGAAATCTGATTGAAGATGAGTTATAAGTGACGTACAATTTGCCTATCATTGAGGTTGCCTGAGGTATCATGTATCAACAAGATCATCATAGCACATGGATTTACTGTTGCAAAAAGAAAGTGTCTTCCCATTGATGGGAGAAATTACTGAGATCATTATGCTATTTCAATAACAAATCCACTAAACCAATAATTGCATTCAGACAGAATTATTCAAACTATTTGACCATAGACACCTAATTTAAGTAAGCACATGTGCTATGATTAGAGCAAATATGGTAGTGTTAATTTGGGAATACAATACTGTACAGTTTGCTTTCATACCACAAGTAATTTACTTAAACCATGGTCAAACTAAAACATTTGCAGTGAAACCCCCCCCCCCCTCCTCAAATTGTCCTTTCCATGTCACATTCAGTTCACATTGCTGCTCTTGTGATATTGCTAGTAAAACAATGTACATAACTGGACAACCTGCTGACTGATATTTTTTTTCGTTTAGACATTTTATTGGAAAGTCTTTTTATAATTAGATTTAATTTCCAAAAACACATCTTTACTGGCATGAACAGAACATTTCTTCTTTTTTATGTCGCTGCCTTTATATGATTAGAAACAGTGTTCCTAGCAATTCAATTGGTCCATTTCAAATCTTTGCATTAATAGATACAAGCATTGAAATAGATTCAACTATATTTTATGTCCTTTAAAAAATAGTTTAGTATCTTCATTCATTTTTCCTGTTTTTTTTTCCACTGGGAA